TTTTGTTTTTAGACATAACCTGGGATTCGAACCCGCACTATCTACCTGCATGCATCCCCCCCATACACTTCGGATACATACTAATTCTTCCAAGTTGCTTCACGTTATGATCTTGTATTTGAAAGCCCAATTTGATTATGCATTGCGGTCAGCCATCTTTGATTGTACGGTACGGTATGGAACAGGTACGGGACATGTACGGGACAGGTATGGTCGAGGGTAATACGGCACCATCTACCGATTTGATGACGGCAAAAAAGAATAGGGATGTTATAATTTTTTCAATTCTCCTATTTTTCCAGGCATTACCTGGGATTCGAACCCGCACTATCGCCCTACATGCATTCCCCCATACACTTCGCATTGGCCATTTATACTCATTCTTCCAAGTTGCTTCACGTTATGATCTTGCGTTTGAAAGCCCTATTTGACGATTGCCCCAGCTGTATGTGGCCAGCTGTGTTTGATGGTACGGTACGGTACGGGACAGATACGGGATAGAGCCAGGCGTGACACAAACACACAAACAAACAAACAAACACCAAATTAAAGCTGTGTGGTCCCTGGCTAGCGCCAGACGTTACTGAAGTAACGTCTTCTGCATAGCTACGGGAATTAAAGCTGTGTGGACCCTGGCTAGCGCCAGACGTTACTGAAGTAACGTCTTCTGCATGGCTACGGGAATAAATGCCAAAACAAAGCTGTGTGGACCCTGGCTGGCGCCAGGCGTTACTGAAGTAATGTCTTCTGCAAAGCTACGGGAATAAAATCAGTCCATGTAGAAAGAACATTGATGGTCACAGTCAGGTCAAAAGATGAGCACGGGCCCGGCACTTTATGACGAAGCTATGAGCGCCGCCACCAGCATGCTTCCTGACGAACGACGGACGGGCACCATGATGGCAGGTAATTTGCCATCGCACAAGGCGCAAACATACCCTGGAGCGCAATTGCCTGACAACCAGGGAATACGGTAGGTGACGGCGACGGTCGTGAATTCGTGCAGCCAAAGGGGGCAGAAAACAGTGGTCTCTGTACTGCATAAGCCATTTGTGGCAAACACAAGGGGCGTGAACGATCAACCTTGTTGATGCGTTCGGCATATTGGCGCTTCTTCTGCTGCTCGTGATCAGCCAACTGGCTCATTACTTGCGATCGCGACAGCAAAGATGGCCTTGGGTGAGCAACCCGAAAATTAAAAGGCGTTTTGATGCCGCGACCAGAAGCCACGAGCCCGAACATCCACACGGGCGCCATCAGCAGTGTTGCCTGACACAGCCTCACCCTGCAATGGAGCAAGTGGAGGCTCAGTATCCACGTCACACACCACCTCCGTCAGTGTGTTGGCAAAGAGGTCCCGCAACTGGTTATGGCGCTGAGCGTGAATGCGTCATGAGTCGTCATGTCACGACCACAGACACACGATGAAGGCACACTAATCAGAGCCAAGTCAAAGCGCAGACACAAAGCGTCCCGAAAGTCATATTTGTTGAAAATACTGCTGTAGCAGGGGTACCTAGCCAGGTTGATACGCCACCATCGCCGGCAACCTCGACCAGAAGCCGCTGCTTGTCTGGCAGAGAGGGATTGATGCTGGTGAGAACGGATTGCTGCTGAGCACGACGCTCTGTGTGCGCCGCAGAAGCAAGAGTCCTGCAGGATGCGACGGCTGCAGCAAGACCAGGGGCACGAGTCGGCAACACAACGACCAGCGGTGGAGAACAGCCGAAACCGCGAGCCGGTCAACTAATGGAGACTATCTCTGAACAGAAAAGCAAACCAAGGGCATTCGCCTTCTGCGAGAAAGCCGGTCATTCAGTTTCATCATGTAAATCATTCGAGGATGTGAGCCAGAACGAACGGTGTAAGTTGGCCCGGTCTGCAAACCGGTGCTACGTGTGTCTCGGGTATAGGCATGGGGCAACGGAGCAAGCCATGTGGCTTAGATGGCTGGACGACATTTCACCACCCTCTGTTGCATCCGTAAAATTATGAGCAACAAGGACAACCCAGAGACTCTGCTGATAGAGAGCAGACTAACTCAATCACGATGGCATCACACCTGACCTGCAGCAAGCAGAAGCCATCTGCGAGCGTCATCCTCCAAACAGTACCAGTACGACTGAAAAATGGCCACAACGAAGTGATGACGTCTGCACTTTTCGATGAGGGATCTAAAGTGACACTGGTAGACACCCGATTAGCCAAGATCCTGCAAGCGTCTGGCCCAGTGAAGCCACTGTCTCTCACATGGACCGATAAGCAGCATCAACACCATCCTCAGTCTATGTCCTTGAACCTGCAGATCACTAGATTGCAAGGAGACGACACCTTTCAGCTGAGGAGTGCCAGACCAGTGGACAAGGTCGATTTGTCGTGTCAGCCGGTGACGTCTGCAAAGGCGCTGAAGCAATTGCCGCATTTGAAAGACGCGCGGGTCCACACACTCGCTAACAACAAGCCCTAGCTCCTGATCGGCCAGGACAATGTCAGTCTGACTGTCGGACTAGAGGTCATCGAAGGCGCGCCCAACGCGCCGATCGCCACCCGAACCCAGCATGGGTGAGTCATGCACGGTCGGCCATCTGATCGTCAGGGCAAAGGTGATGACGCCGTTCTGCAAAATATCTCTACGGAGGACGCAGAACTGCACCAGCTCGTGAAATCGTTGTTTATGTTAGGTTCACGATTTCACATATGCACGCACTCGCACACTCGTACGCACTCGCACCCTCGAACTCACCTTTACAGGCGCGCACTCACTTTCACTCTCGTACTCACCTTTTCGGGCGCGCACTCACTTTCACTCTCGTACTCACCTTTACAGGCGCGAACTCACCTTTCCGGGCGCGCACTCACTTTCACTCTCGTACTCACCTTTACAGGCGCGAACTCACCTTTCCGGGCGCGCACTCACTTCCACTCTCGTACTCACCTTTTCAGGCGCGGACTTACCTTTACTCTCGTACTCACCTTTACAGGCGCGAACTCACCTTTTAGGGCGCGCACTCACATTCACTCGACGTACTCACCTTCACAGCCTCGTACTCACCCTGGTTGCTTTTCCTAATCTTTTCTTTCTTTGGCCTGGGTAGCTGGACTCGCGCTTTAGCACATTTATCTCCATAGCTATCTCAGGGTCGTGGGTTCGAGCCCCACGTTGGGCGCCAATGTTGAGTTCGAAACAGGACGACTGACAACGGGAACAAGTTAGTGGGAACGACATTTATTATAGACGACGAGACAAGAGACCAAGACGAACGAAACGACTACATGGTGATTATTGACGAGTGAGAAAAGAGAGAGAGAGAGAGAGAGATCAAGTCTGAATGGCAAGATAAAGGGCCTGTGTAGCTATGGCAAATATGGGCGCGCAAGTAGCTACCCAGGCCAACGGAACAAAAGGAGACAAAAGGTGAGTACGTAAGTGCATGCAGGCCAGCTAGAAAAGGTACGGGAGGAGGTACCTAACATTTAGGACTGACGAGTTCGGAGTCAAGATGCCGCACGCTACAGCCCACAACCGTGCATTTGAGCTGCGTCAGGCAACAACTCAGCGGTTTGACGATACCATGTGGGAGACGGGGCTCCTGTGGCGCGAGGACAACCCAGTGCTGCCGCGTGGATATGGCAATGCGTTCAATCGACTCCGCAGCCTGGAGCGCAAGCTTGACCGCAACCCATCACTGCTAGCAAAGTACAACGAGAAGATTGCTGAGTATGTCTAAAAGCACTACGCGGAGATCATATCTCCTCATCAGTTAGCGATCGACTCCAACACCACCTGGTATCTCCCGCACTTTGGGGTCAACAACCCCTAGAAGCCGGAAAAACTACGATTGGTTTTCGATGCTGCATTGAAAACCAAGGGAAATGTCAGCCATACTGTTCGGTTTCCGCGAGGAGGCTTTCGCATTTGGTGGTGACATTCAATAGATGTTTCACCAAGTGTTCATTAGGCCACAAAATCACTGCACTTAACAATTTCTGTGGCGTGGGTAGGACCGCAGCAAACCGACTGTCTGCCGGATGAGGGTAATCACATTTTCACCTACATCGCCGCAGTTCGTGACGAACACCAATGCTGCCGAGCATCGTGACAAGCTGCGTGCAGTACAGGGCATTGTCGAGCATCAGTATGGCGATGACTACTTTGACAGCTGTGCTGAGACCAAAGAAGCAGTCAAGATCGTTGCAGATGTGATTGACATCCACAGACAACGTGGCTTCCATATCATGAACTGCAGGCTCCTGGGTAACCTCTCTCTCATCCTCCCTGCTATCATTCTCATCATATCCATGTACGATTTTCAATTCTCATGCCTTGCGTTAGTGTCCTCTCCGCACTCCTTGTTCGATTCTCGCTTCCATAAAATCCCGTTGCGCGCCGTGTGCGTGTCGACAACAGTAGATAAGTGGAAACTGCTGCAAAATCGAAATTAGGGCTGCCAGTGGCCTGATAGTCGGGTCCAGATTGTCAGTAGCGTTGTTGTTCTGGTTTCAAGGCTATTACATCCTATTAGTGGTCACCTCCAACCTGACGGCATAGGCGCGAATGGCAATGCGTTCAGAGAGCTGGTCACCCGGCAATGGCTCTCTAGAAAGACAGGTACCCGTCCCGAGTTTGTTACGCGGTATGCTGGGATACCCTCAAGTTGGGCATCTCAATGCTTGGGCGATGGCGAACTGGCTCCAAAAGGAGCCTGTAATTTGCAGCCGTCGGCAGGTCAGGTACAATCCATTTGAACAAAATTTCGCAATTCCGAAAACAGCCATTATTGTAAATACCCCCAAAACAGATACTTGGCAAGGCCTGACAATGCTTATTCATCTCAGTCATTATTGGTCACTTGTTGGTCTTGCAACTAGTGACAGGTTGGTTGGGTGAAGGTCAGCGGCTCCTCGACTTGACAATCTTTTCAATAGTGGTGCATGTCAATCCCAAAAGTGTCTGTAAAAAAACTTAGAAAATTGTATTTCAGCAAATATTGAAAACTCACGAGAGCATGGTGTAGCACGTAGTGTTGTCCAGTTTCCATAGGATAAGCACTGTACAGTTGAACTGACGGCATCGATGTTCAGGTCAAAATACGGCTGGCACTGTATAACAATATTACCACCATGAATTGTGACATTGATTGTCGAATATGCTCCACCAAGTGGATTTGATGGTTCATTGAATTCACCTAAAATGCATGCAAGAGATTAATTGAAATAGTTGAACAAGTTTAAAACGTTTTCGCTAGGACAATGAAGATAATGAATTCAGCAACTCGGTTGGTTTAATGACAATCCACTTCTCCCGTTTGCCCTAAACACTATTTTGGTACATTATTTCCAAAACCATACATTTTCTCCTCTTGTATGTCTTCCCTGCTTGGTTGGCCACTAACATAAGTCGATTTGAGAAGATAGAAGTACTTCACCGCAGAATCCTTCGTAAAGTATTTCATCAAGACCGTTACGTACAAAACTTAGACTTGCACGCAGCCGCAACTACAACTTTACAACACTATTGCTAAGAGCATGTCCGAGAATACCAAAGGCGACGGAGGATGAACCGCGATAGCGGGAGCCGGCTTCATAAATGACACATGCCTAGAGACCCGCTGGCCTGTGACTGGATGGGTGATGACCACGGTGGAGCCCGTCATCTCGTCCACAGTCCATGGGTTTGGATCCCAGATTGAGTCGAGCTTGTTGTGCTGCCGTTCGTTCTTGCGCAGAACTTGTTGACCCGGCTTGAGGGTGATGGTCGAAGCCGGTTGCGCACTGCGATGGTGGTTCGCCGCCTCGCATTGGCGGGCGCGGAACGCATGCTCCTTGTTCGCCGTGACGGTCGCATCTGGTGCTGGGGCCGTGCACAGGCTGGGGAGAGTGTCCCGGATGCTGCGGCCGAACATGATGGTAGCTGGCGGCAGGCCTGTGGCGGGGTGGGGAGTGGTGCGGTATGCGAGTAGCCACTCGTCAAGTGCAGCACGCAAATCTCGGCCATCCAGTTGGGCAGCACGGAGGACCTTGCCGATCGTGCGGTTCATCCGCTCCACTGCACCATTGGCTTGGGGCCAGAGAGGAGGCGTGCAACGGTGAGCGATGCCCATCTGGGCCAGGAAACGGTTGAACTCCGCCGAGCGGAACTGGGGGCCGTTGTCAGAGACCACTTCTTCTGGCAGGCCGAATGCTGCGAACGCACTGCGGAGCACTGCAAGTACGCCAGCTGTAGCGGGAGTGGAGTTGAACACGTGAGTGACTGGGTAGCGACTCAGTTGGTCCACCGCAACCAAGAGTGTGCTTCCGCCTGGCAAGGGGTCATACAGGTCGACAAACACCCGTTGCCATGGCGCCGTCGATGGTGGGGTCGGTGTGGATTCCGGCCTGTATGGGCCTGTTGGCGTGTTTGCCTGACAGGAGAGGCATTGGCGGCAGAGGGATTCCGCAGCGGACGTCATGCCAGGCCACCAGACTTTCGTGTACAGTCGTTGCTTGGTCCGTGACATGCCTTGGTGGCCGGAGTGGGCCAGTTGAAGTGTCCGCTCTCGGAGAGACAGTGGAATCACCAGACGATGGTCCTTGAGCAGGAGACCGTCGGCGGCGGAGAGTTCATGCCTTTTCGTGTAGAAAGGGTGGATGTCCACTGCCTTGTCGTCCCACATGCCCGTCTGCAGTGACAGCAGCACGGCCTGGAGCGTTGAGTCTGCTCGAGTTGCGCCTTGGATGTCGGACAAGAGGAGGGCGTTGGGAACAGAGGACTGCGCGATGACATTGATATAGGCGGTGTCCTCCTCCTCACCAACATTCGGCAGGGGAGGATGTGGCTGAGGGTGACGACTCAAGACGTCTGCTGGGTTGGTAGGGCCAGGTTCATACACCAGCTTGAAGTGGAGGTCTTGGACTTTGAGAGCCATCCGTTCAATGCGGGGTGGAGGTCGTGAAGACGGGTGAAGCAGCTGTAGAAGGGGCTTGTGGTCGGTGTGGACCGTGAAGCCGGGGTCGCCGCTGAGGAAATGGGAGAAGCGCAAGCAGCCGTACTTCACACCGAGGGCTTCGCGTTCCGTTTGCGAATAACGCTGCTCAGTGGGGGTCAGGCTGCGGCTTGCGAATGCGACTGGTTTCAGCTCGGAGTGATCCTGGACGACTGCTTCAGGAGACTGGCAGAGGATGGCGCCAAGGCCAACGGGTGAGGCATCGACGTAAAGGTGAGTGTGTTTGGTACGGTCGAAGTAGGCGAGGGCCCGATCAGCTGCTATGTCGGCTTTGATGGCATCGAATGCTGCCTGAGCCTCGGGTGACCAATCCCACTGCGGACCCTTGCCAAGGAGTTTCCGCAGGGGTGCCGTCTTGGTGGCCATGTCGGGGATGTAATGGCGCATGAATGTCGCCAAACCCAGGAAACTCTTGATATCGGAAGCTGACTTGGGTGTGGCGAAAACAGCAATGCTCTCTTTGCGGTGTGGTGCAGCCTGAGTGCCCCGGCGACTGTAGATAGTCGACATGAAGGCCAGGCGGGTTTGGCGAAACTGGCACTTCGCCAGGTTGAGGGAAACATTGTGGGCACGTAGGCGTTGCAGGCAGGCGTGCAGGCGCTCATCGTGGACTTGGGCCGTCTCCCCGTAGATGAATATATTGTCGTGCACGCTGCGAACACATGGGAGACCCGCGAGGACACGGTCCATGGTCCGCTGGAGGATCTCAGACGCTGAAGCCAACCCCATGGCGAGTCGCTTGCACCGCATTAGGCCGAGGGGTGTGTGGAACACGGTGAAAAGACGGGATGACTCGGCCAGTGAGATCTGGTGGAAGGCCTTGTTCATATCCAACTCGGTGAACACGGTGGCCCCTGGCATGTCGGAAGTAATCTCCTCAAGCGTGGGGATGGGATGGCGTTCCCGTGCCGCAACGGCGTTGACATCACGGAAATCCTGCGTGAGGCGCACTTTGCCCTTGCGCTTTGGCACGACCACCATTCGGGCAACCCATGGGGTGGGGCCAGTGGCAGGCTCGATGACATCCAATGCGAGCTGCTCATGGAGCTCAGCGAGTGCGTCCTCCTGGAGGTGGACAGCCACTTTGGATGGTGCTTGAGCGACAGGGCACGCGTTGCCATCTACGTAGATATGGGCTTCTACGTCGTTGATGCAGCCGAGGCCCTGGAAGCGGTCGTGGTACTCAGCAAGGTCGTCTGGCAGTTGCGGACTTTCGATGCTGTGGACCAGCTGGATGAGGCCAAAACGCATGGCGCTCTCGCGGCCAACGATAGCAGCGGTACGTGGCGCGTGTGCGACAACGAGGAATGTTGCCGTCGAACTCATGGTAGCGGAGGAAACACAGAGGGGGATGCTACCCAGAAGAGGAAGAGGTGAAGTTGAGCCGTAAGCAAAAATTTGCACATCCGTTTGCTGAAGTGCTGCAACAGGGGCAACCTTTGCCAGGTCATCAGTATTGATGATATTGTGACTGGCACCACTATCCACCAAGACAGTCAGGGGTATGCCGTTGACGTGCACGGTGCGCCGGGCATCCTCACGGCAGGGTGCCGTAGATGGACGAGGCGGAGAGTCGGTAGAAAACAGCTCTGCGCCAATCTCTAAAAAATGAATGGCATGGTGGCTGCTGTTGACAGCGTGCTGGTCAGCGTGTTGGTGGGGACGGCGTTCCCTGAACGTGCGGGCCTGGATGGCGGAGTCCGAGGCGCGGCATGCCGCAGCGAAATGGTTTGGCTTGCCACAGCGGCTACAGAACTGGCCCTTGGTAGCGTCACATGTGGCATGGCCTGGCTTTCCACACCGGTAGCAGGTCAGACCGGATGAGGTAGACTGTGGACACTGGGCTTGGGGCTGGCGTGCAGCTGCGTAGCCGTGGCGCTGTGACCCCGAGAGGGCACCACATGGGCAGGCTGGGGTGCTGCTGACGCCAGGGAAGCGACGTGGGCGTCCTGCTGTGAAGCCACTGAAGAGCCCAGAGAGGCGTCCTTGATGGCGAATACATGGGTGATGCTGGCCTCATACGCGCGGGCTGCTTTCAGAGCTTTGTCGGAGTCGAGGCCATCGATCTCCAGCAGTTTTCGCCGAATGGCGTCGGACTTGCAGCCGATAATCAGCTGGTCCAAGACAGCCAATTTCTCCGCGGCCATATCCGGGAAGCCGCTGCGTATCACGTGGTCGCCCAAACGACAACAGAAACCCTCCATAGTCTCGTTCGGCTGTTGACGAAGCTGACGGAAATTGAACCTGAGGAGCGTTTTGTTTTGGTGTTTATCGAACTCGTCCTGCAATGCTTTGGCGAGGTCGTCGAATGTTGCCCCTGTGTTGCTAAGAGTGGGCACGAGTTGCTGGATGTCGTCTCCTCCCAGGTACTGGAGTAGCCCACACTGTTGGTCGTCATCGCCAATTTTGGACGCAGCAAGATAAAGTTTGAAACTCCGTGTCCAGGCGGGCCAGCGCGTGGCGGCATCGTAGAAGGAGACATAAATAGGAGAAGGTCTAGGGGGCGGAATGGCGGGTGGTCGGTCACCCATGCTCGCCGCGGAGGAACAAAATAGCTCGCAGCGCCAATGTAGTATTTTTTCTTCTTCAGTCCAAAACAACAAGAGTCCAGAGTCAAACCATGCACAGCAACTAAAAGCCGCGAAGTCCGTTTCACGCGCGCGCGGGAAACGGCACATGCTACATGCATAACATCACGATGTACTACTACTACTACATGCATCATGAATGTCTGGAGTGGCCAAGGAATGCCACAGCGCGTAGGAACACGTGAACACTACAAAGTGCAAGTCGATCTCTCCGATTTCGCCCAAAATTTACAGGTATATGTTCCTTTTGGGGTGTCCATCGGTTGTGCAAACCCCTTGAAAAGTTTCTCAAGGCAACCTTGAAACTTGCACACCCCTTAAAAATGGCAGTTTAAAGACCATGACCAACATCAGACTGCAGCATCACAAGACAATCTTGGCAGCAGCAATGGTCAACATTCCACCACAGTTAGGACCAATGATACAGAATGATGACAGCACTGGGCGACCCTAAGTGTAACCTACTTCTAACTAATGCATTCTGCCTGATGTGTAAGCTTGGTGAATTCCAGCACGTAGTCACCACACACCTCCCAGACATTGTCGATGTAAGGGAGACGACGTTTACCGTTGAGAAATGTACGAATGTGGATGCCACTCTGCCACGTTACCAAC